GCAGTCCAAAACACTGAACCGCTTGGCGATCGAGGTATCCAGATATGGTATGCGCTTTGTACTATCCAAATGCAAAGTGCTTGTTCAAGACTGGTAGGAGCCTGCGCCTGCACTTACCCTCTGTGGTAATCAGCTGTAAGTGGTTAAGAGCTTCAAGTGCTTCGGGAGCTTGATCACAACTGCTGTTGGTGTTGGGGAGATTACATCACNTCACAGACAGAGATAGCCAAAGCAGCATTCGCCAACCTGCGACACCTGTGGCATCGCAATGACATCCGACTGTCCCTTAAGGGATGGGTGTGCATCGCCGCGGTTCGTATCGTTCCGCTTTACGGTTGCGAGACCTGGCCTCTCCGAGCGCAAGATGCTAGTCGACTTTCCGTATTCGACCACCGATGTCTTCGAAGTATTGCTCGTGTCTGGTGATTACATCGGGTGAGCAATGACGAGGTTCGTCGTCGTGTGTTGGGTGTTGATAGTCGTCCTCTATCAGAAGTAATCGCTCTACACCGCCTCCGATGGTTTGGTCACGTATTGCGTATGCCTGCCCATTGACTACCTTTCCGTGCTCTCTTCGCACGGGTCGGGCAAGGCTGGAAGAAGCGGCGCAGCGGTCAGACCATGACATGGTCTAGAGGTATGAAAAAACTGGCTTCAGCTCTGGCTTCGTTTGGTGCAGCCCGCCCTCCAGGTTGGGGCCCAAGGGATGAGAACTGTCGTTCGTTAGGGACGCTGAGATATATGGTCCAGAATAGAAGTCAGTGGCGCGAATGCTGTACGGTCTGCCTTTCGAAATCCCGTGCCTCATGAAGTAACGATAAACTAACACAAAAGAATTCAAAAAGTGTACGGTGAAACACGCAAAAAATTGTTATCCCATTTATTCGTAAATTTCCGTTTCAACATTTCCGTCTTTTTTCCTATGTTCTGTTTCCAACCCCCTCACCAGTTATTGTTATTGTTATTATTATTGTGGAGTTGGCACCTTGCTTGTCCGCAAATATATATATATATATATACATATATGAAACAAATTTTATTTGCAGAAAACCGCGGTTCACCACGCTAGTATTTACCGGTGGTGGTGGATCTGGTGGTATGACTAATCGAGCAGAGGATGTAGCCAATTTCCAACGGAACGGGGCTACAATTTTGGTGGCTACTCCGGGTCGCCTGGTTGATATTGTGCACCATATCTCTGAGTTCAACGGTCCTACATCTAATCCGTTTATTCGTGGATTTCGTAGTCTGGTAAGCAGAATACAATCCAGTTGTTCCTTATGTCTTTTGCGGTATTCTCACCATTCGAAAATCTTTTGCTTCCACAACGTCAAGACATTTAAAATTCATACATGATAATATCCCAATGTCATTATATTCTTTTTTGCATTGACCGCTATGGACACTTACTGACTCCATCATGGACAAGCACATACAAGCATGTGAAGATTTTATTAAAGAAATACTATCAGACATTCACCATCCATTACACAATGAACTTTCAAAACTATACTTACATCATCCCCCCCCCCCCCAAGATTCATACCTTTTCATATCGTAATTCAGTTTTGATAATTAATTTTATAATTTAATTAATTAGTTTAATGATGTGTTTCTTTTTTCCTTTTCTGTCTCCCATTCCATACTATAGGAGGTTCTTATTTTGGATGAAGCTGATCGTCTGTTGGAAATGGGTTTTGAAAAACAGTGAGTTATGTGCATGTGTAGCATTTTTACGAATGCGTTCCGCGGAGTTGTTTGATTTTCATAAACATTTACTATCTGACAACGAACTTTGATTTGGTCTGATTGAAACAAGTAAGAAACTGTTTTGGAATGTTGAATGCGATATGGTTAGATATACCCCTTGGTTGTTATGGGGTGCAGTTTACCGATGTGCACCGGTTGGATCGATTGTAGAAAATGCTCATTAAAGTCAAGGCAAGAATCCACTTTTGGACAGAATTTTCTGTGAGAACAAAATTGTATCACTGTTGCTTTGGTATAAATGAAAATAAAATGGATTGGAAAGCCGTGAAGAGTGGCATCATAGATAGAGTCATAGATTGAATTGAGGGTTAAAAAGAGGTTGTCGATAAACAATGGGAATAACATGAAATGGAGTGTCGAATCAAGGGGGAGGGGGGGATGTTGTGTGTCTCTGATTTATCACCGGTAACTCCGTTCACGGATTGATCCACGACAGAAGTCCTGGATGGAACAAACAGGTAACCTCTCCCGCTAACCTTAACGTCGCCCTCCATCCAAAGCTTTGACAGTATCGAGGGGCCGAAAACACAGTTCACTAGGAAATGCATCTGTTCGAGTGAGTCATTCGAATAACTGCTATTGAGGATAAATTTTGGCTCATAGTACTTCACCATACCTGGTGAAATGCTGTGTAACCAAAGGCTTTAAGCTGTTGGGTAAGAGTAGAGTTTGGTTACTAATTCCTAACATTAAAAGTAACATAGGGCTCGGAAAGAAGAGAGATCACCATTTGCATGTGATGGTTGATCGATCGCGAAGTATGTCGTGCACTAGAATTTCACTCATGCATTGGGAAAACCCACTTTCTCAACTGTCTAGTTCTTCCCCTCACTCCTAAGTCATCCGAGTTGTCTTCTGTTTCTGCTGCTTAGGGTATTCACACTCGAAAATACGACTCTGTATGCCGGAGATTGGATTAATCATTTTCAGTTTTCACAACCATTAACCATGTATTTTCATGCGTCGGTTTTGGTTGGTGTCTTTTGGCTATCCATTTGGCTGAAGACGCAGAATGAAGATTGAAATGTTGGGAGCAGAGTCAAAGTGAAGAGGGAGCACTAATATGGACTAGGGTTGCAAGAGTAAAGAGTAGATGCACGACCGCCACTGTTTGCGACACCCAGCCATATCACTCACTGTCTCCAACCACAAGTCCACGCTGAGACTGCACCTTGACGTGGTGTGATGGCTCTCGTGCCTCCGTGACCCTGCGAGCTATACACGATGGCTCCTCACAAATGCAGATTTATCCATACCTAAAACGCCAATGTGAGCTACCGCGAAGTATGTCGCATCCTAAAGTCTTAGGCACCCATTTAGAAAACCATCTTTCTCATCTGTCCACTTCCTCTTCTCCCTCACACACCTTGGGGGATGCATCTTGTTTGCGGAACCCATGGGATATCACTCAGCGTCCAACTAATCAGTTCAACCACTCGGAAGCTATCAGATTTTTGGGACAAAAATCTCCCTTTCACTTAGCCGCATTTGATGTCCGCACACTATCAGATCGGTCAACAAGCTGCCTTAGCTAGAACCCTTGAAACTCTTAATTTAGACTTATGCTGTGTCTCGGAAACACGCATGCAAGGCCTTACTTCAACTATAACCTTTCAATCTGCAGATCCATCTTCATCCTCGCGCTTCACTCTCCGTGTGTCAGGTGAGTCGGCATCCGAAGCTCGCGGTGTTACTGGTGTCGGGATTGCANGTTTCCTTTCAGTAGCCGACTTTGCGCTGTATGTCTGAATGGTTTAGTACGGATCAACAGCTGCAGAACGAAGCGTCGATGTTTACTCATCGTATCCTTGTATTCTCCGACTGATTGCAGTTCCCCAGAAATGAAGGATGAATTCTACAAGGACCTCTCTCTACTGCTCCAAAGCGCTCGGTCAACGGACGTCGTGGTGGTCGCTGGAGACTTCCATGCTCAAATGGGATCTCTGTACCAATCAGAAAAGCTACTTGGTGGTTCGCATGCAGTGTCAGCTAACCGGTCTAACAACGGAGAACGCGTACTCCAACTTTGCGCTGACCAAGGGCTGTTCATGTCAAGCACCAACTTCTAGCACAAGAAAAGGTACCGCCTTACGTTCAGTTCAGTTCAGTTTTTACAACCATTTCGTGCACCGGTTTTGGTTGCTGTCTTTTGGTTACCCATTTGGATAAAAGAGCGAAATG